TCGCGACAACGTGACCTCCGCTTTCTGCGTTTCCCATTTTCTCGATAACCGATCGCAAAAGTGCTGGGGGAACCTTGAATCGCAATTAACCGCGAAGGCGTATGTACGTATATACGGGAGTGATGCGTTCAAGCGACTCATCGCCGCTTATCGGTAAAACGTTTATCGGTGAACGTGACGTGGACGAAACGTCGTGCCGTTCGATAGTTTGAAACACATCGAATTCCTTTATTATATGCTGCGTTTATTCGGAGTTTCTCCCCTGTTTAATTAAAATAATTTAATTAACTCCAGCAACGTATATAGCAGAAAGACTGAAAGTCGATTTTATCAATTTTCGAGAAATTCTGTGAATTCATGGTTGATCGGTGTTTGCATTTCCGTTCTCTCTCAACAAATAGGATTTTAACGTTGGCGTTCGATTTCTCTTGTTACTTAACGATTCTGTTGCAAGTGTCGAGCTTTGCTCAGAGGAAAATTCATTCCCTGATCCGAATATCTCGCCAGTCTAAAAATTGTTCAAAATCAACGTGGAAAAGAGGATATCTGATTCGTCGATTTACCAATTTACCTTTCACCGCGTGACAATCGAGTTTCACGTGGAGACGCAAAATTGAGACACCACCAGGAGCAGTTTTTTGGATCAATTAATCGGAGCAGAGGGCGATCGAAGGACAAACGAGAACATGTTAATTAATCATGTGGCATCCGCTTCAATTACCCGCGTTTCACGTGGTCGTTGCACGTGGTTGTTTGATCATTATCCAAACTATCTTGGACGTGTTTTCTTGGCCACGGCGGCCCAATGACCCCCATCGGCACCCTGCCCACACATAGCCCTGTCATAATTGTCAACGATGATCGAGAAAACCGTTTATTTGGGTCGACCGAACGGAACTGGAACGTATCGCCGATTTATTATTAAGCGATCGGTGCTACATTGCCGCCGCGCCGAGCAACCCGATATTTGGAGCGTTCGGTTAATTGCCAAACGTCCGGTTAAAGAGCATATCAATCGAAATGATCGTAAATTAATTCGGCGATAAAGGTACCGGTGGATGTGCGTGAACCGGTCCGAGATGCCCACGAAAATAGGACTTGTTCGCACGCGGGATCCTCGTCCATCGCGTCACCCCCCTTGGTCCAGATGCATCTGCTCGAAATTTCACACTCGCCTGCACGTGTGAAAATTCATACGGAAGATTACCTCGTTAACGATCCTCCAGAGAGGATGCTGAAAAATGAAAGACAAGTTTCACCGATGGAACATTCTATTGGCGTTGCGATCTGGTTGTTGGAATTACACGCGTAACGAGACTCGATCGCAAATATCGGAAGACAAACGCGCGCGATACGATTCACGGATTTTACGATTCAACACAATGTTAAAACTTTCCTTCGACAGCGTTACGTGATCACTGGTTCAACTAGAAGATTTCTACGGGTTGTCGCGTTCCAGGTCTCAAGATCGCGTGGTTCTTGCCACGCCACTCGACGTCAATCTTGATTGAGCTACGCACCAGCTACTACTTCTTTTCGCCGTTTGCAATCCCGTTCTCACTTTCCGCGAGCGGTGAATTTCACCGAGATTCTTCGAGTGAAAGAGAACAAGACTAACTAATTACTAGCTTTTCTTTTTTACGAAACAATCGCCCGGTGAACCGACGTTTCGTCGGACGATCGTTACCACGGAAAGGTCGACGGTGTTCCCTCGAAGTACGAACCGATGTCGCGCGCCGGAAACCGCGTGCGACCACGGCCATCGATGCGGACGGCGTTCCGCTAACCCAATTACGCAGCCGAGGAAGAGTAGGCGCGCAGCGATCGTGAAGCGAATGAAAAACGAGGCGTTGGCGGGTGTTTTAACGGGCCGTGCGTGAAATCACGGCCACAGTGAACATACAGAGGAAGCGTTCACACTCCATACAGAATCGCGATCCTCCGACAACATTGCCGAGAACTCTCGGCCCGATGGAATTTTCGCGTATACAAGATGTTCCACGTAACATTTTTCACGATTTTTTCAAGTACTTGCGATAATCTGGAATGTTTTAAACAAAAGTTGATCAGTTTCCGATTGGCTATACAGTCGAAAAAAACATTTTTTTTTTCAATAGTCGTCAATGTCACCTTCGTTTTTCTAAATGGCACTTTATATTTTTGACTTAATAGCATTGTATCTAGACAAATTCAACGACCCTAGTATACGTTCGGATGATCTCGAAGGCAAAGAAATGAAAATTTCAACAAAAAATGATAATCAGTATAAATGATCAAAATTGTAAAGTGCCATTTAGAAAAACGAAGGTGACCTTGACAATTATCGAGGAAAACATTTTTGAAATTTTCGAAAACTGATCAACTTTTAATTAAAACATTTCTTTTGTCAGATTATCGGAAGTATTTGAAAAAAACGTGAAAAGTGTTACGTGGGACACCCTGTATAATCAATCGTTTTTCTCTTTCGTTCGTTTTGACGCGATAATTGAGATGCGTCCGTTTTTCTGAGGGTTCGATTGATGAGTTTTAAATACGAGTGGTTTCATGGAACTCGCTAAAACACTTGCGTTTATATGGAAGTAAAAGTAGTTTTGCAAGGTTTTGCTGAGGCCGAAGAATGTTAAATGCTTCTGATGAAACAACTTGGTTGATTAATGATTTTGGTTATATCTTCTTACAGAGCTCTTCAATTCACTTTAATATTTACTTATAACTCAAGAATTTGACATATCTTCTTACGAAGCTCTCCAATTCACTTCAATACTTAACCAAAGAAGTTTCGTTATTAATTTTACAAAAAAAAAAAAAAAAAAAATGCTACGAACACCTCGAACAAACCTACGTTACTATCCAAACCTGAATTAGTCCAATTTTGCAGAATAATTAAAATCTATTCTCCATATGCAAAAACGCTTATAAAGTACCGGTTAAACTGGAAGATAACAAAATGCTGGTTCACCTCGAGGAGCTCGGCTTTCTAGCATTTTCTCGTCGATATGATCGCGTACGAAACAATGATTGCGACGCGCTATATCCGGTGGAGAGTGGACGCGTGTCGCGAATCGCGATCGGGGAATCGTTTCGAAAACACCGGGATTGCAACAGGCCGAATCGGCACAAGGCGGTCATGCTCGTTAGTCCCGGCTAACGTTTGATTCGCCGCTCGTTCAATTAAGACGCGCGCGGGCAACGCCGCTAATTAGCCAATAAATATGGAAACGCGCGCCGGGTGTCCACTGCGTGTGCGTGTTAATTGAATGCTTAAAATATTAATCGGTCCCTTTCGTTTCGTTTCGTTCTCGAACCAACGAGCGTCCGTTCGTTTCTCCGTCTTACGAGCGGTTTCGACGAAACTGCCATATGCTCGTTTGCAAGTGTGTGAGAACACTTGTGCAACGAGTTGCATCTGACAGGTTTGGGAAAAAGTTATCAAGACCTTGGAGAAGTGTTACACTACGTACGTTCGATATTGCGAAAAGGAAGAATTTTATCAGTTAATATCCGTGCATCTATGTTTAAGAAAGATATTTTCTCGACAATTTTGATTAATCATCTCTATCGTAGTCTGCGTTCGTTTGTATGAAAATCAACGAGTGTCTAAATTTTATAAAACAATTGTTTGACGTATATTGCAAGATTCTGTTCCCTAAATAATCGCGATAAAGTAAATCAATATTGTTAAGGCATTTATTGATAATAAATATGCAAGTAATTCAATACTAAAATATATTCTTATCTTCGCTTGCTATGTAAAATCTCGATAATCCCAGTTTTCGTCGATTGAAAAAAAAAAATTTCATCGATTAAAACATCTGTGCATTTCTTCGATCGCTGCTTTAAACAAGATTGATGTCTATGCATCTGTATTTGTCAAAGCTATCATTTTTTCTACAATTTTGATTAATTAATTTATCATTTCTTTTATAATCTGTGTCATTTATCAAGTTTGTATAAAACCAACTAGCATCCACATACTGATTTGTTTAAAATTGTCTGACATATACTGCAAGATTTTATTTGATAAATAACCGTGACAAAGTTTCTAAATCGATACTATGAAGGCGGTTGATAATAAATAGTTCAATACATACGTTATTTTCTGTTTAAATCTTGGTGATAGTTTCTCAATCTCACTTTTCACTGAAAGAAGAAACCTTCGTCAATTGAGAAGTCCATGTATATGTTCTGCGATCGCTGTTTTACTCAAATTTGACATATGTGATATCTTTACAATTTTTGTTCACGAATTAATCGTTTCTTTTATAACCTGCGTCATTTATCATGTTTGTACGAAACTAACAAGTGTTCGCCAAACTGTCTGACATTTATACCACAAGATTTTATTCTATAAATAACCGTGACAAAGTTTCTAAATCGACTTCGCGAAGGCTTTAGTGTTAATAATAAATATGCAAATAATTCAATCCATCCTCACGTTCCCCTGCTGTATGTAAATCTCGGCGATACTTTCTCGACCCCGCTCTTTTCACCATGATATATATCGCGTTTAATGCCTCCGCGAGCTCATTCGTTTCGAAGAATCGATCCTCCACTCCTCCGCTCAAATTGCAAAGTATTCCTCGCTCACTGACGGCGGGTGATCACCGAGCAATTCAATCGGCCGCGTTATCTAAGAGCGAGACACCCACGAAATTAGGGGTCCGCCAGCCTGTTTCGTCAACCCTGAATTTTATTAGCACTAGACCCTCTCCCAGAAGCTCGTGGTGGCTGGTCGCGCGAGAAAGCTTAATCGCCTGATCGAGTCCCGTTGCACGGCGCAACGCCCACCGAAGACTCGATTCGGATTCGCTGGCTCGAGGGACGATCACACACACACACACACACACACATCCCTCTCGAGAATCGAACGCAACATCTGTCGCGAAGTATCGCTGAGATCTCGATCTCGTTCAAACGGGCGATAAAATATTTCATATATATATATATATATATATATACACCGCGGACAAAAACTTTGTAACATCTTCGAGAACGTTTTTACGAAACGATGATAACTTAATAATCTGTTCGAACCTGGGCCCTACCTGTATCTTCCCTCTTAAGTGGCATGAGGCATCGGCGTCGTCGAGTCGAGTGATGCGAGGGAAGACGAAAAACAAGGAACGAATTGCCTATCAGGAGCTAAATGACTTCCACTCTGCTCGAGGTTGGAAAAAACTTGACTGAAAAAAAAAAAGAAAAAGAAAAAGAAACGAGCGAGGTGCATTTGCTCATCTGGAGAACGAGGATCGCACGCCGAGGGCCGGGTCGATCGAGGAACGATGCAACGAGATGCATCAACCCATTAGCGATCGCACGTGAATCTCCTCTGACAGAGATGGAGCTACGTCTCGTTGCGCGTAGCTGACCGGACGTAGTGTAGGTGTAGCGCGAAAAAATAAAGCGCGAATGCACTTCAGCTGATATGTGGGTTAATCGACGGGCAAAGTGAAACGATGTTACCCGGTGTTACCTCCTCTCGTTAAGCGGTGGCTCGGTCTTCCGGGTCTTCCTGTTCATTTTTCTGGGCTAACTCTTTCAGCTGCAAGAACAAGAAGCTACACGCTGTCCGACTGACTATGCTTACTTCTTCTAAAAAAAAGTCACAAATAGCAGATTGCAAACACTTTTGTGACCGTGATTGACAAAATTTGTGAGAATTAAGTGAAAAATTTCTCTGCCATCGTAATATGGGATAACGTGTAAAAATCCGCGGTTTGACAGTAAATTGATGATCATTTGTATTTTAGTAAGTATTTTAGATCGTAATTCCTTCCATAGAGTTTTAAAAGAAAGACGATATTCGCGCCGATAACGATCGAAGAAAGAAAAAGAAGAGAAAACGTAAACGTTATAAAATTCATCAAGTCATGTAAAATCGAAGCACATCGAGTGACAGCCTTTCTATCTCCTCTAATCTCTAAGGAGACAGCCAGGAATGTGTAACTCTCGTCGAGTAACTCAATCAAGATCGACAAATAGACGTTATCGATTCGGTTGTAAGCATCCGGTGAAGCAAATCGCGAGAGACTAGGGGAAAAAGCTTGATCGTCAGTCCAGTTACGCGGAGGCAGAACGCTTCTTTTTCTAGCAAAAACTACTAGCAAAAACACACGCTCAACCCAAATATGAGAATTCCGAACGGATCGGTACGCGAGACAAATCCACGTACAAGGTATTCCAAGGTCTTCTCTTTTCTTACGCGCTAAGCTCACCGTGACCTGTTACATTTACGCCAGCGGAAGGCGTGGCGTTTTACGGTTTCCTCCTGGAACAAACGTCGGGAGTAATCGCGAAAGCTCGATTACATAACGCGATATGAAAACGTCGCGGCGCGTCATTGATTACACCACCGTCTTTTTCTTTCTTTTTCTGTTTTTTATTTTCATCATTTGAAGTCACATCGACCACTTGTGCGTGGGTTATCAACGACATGGATCTTATGGAGCGACTAATTTTACAATTTATCATAAAGGTTAGACCAGTGATTCCCAGTCTTTTTTTCGACCATGCCCCGTGTGCGTGAGTTATTGGTGTAATGATCGAACCACGTTTTTTTTCACTTCTGTTTCTTTCCTTTTTTTTTTTTTTTGTCCTTTGATCCGTTTTTTCTTCGCGCGAAGGCCACGCAAACTCCCGAGGAGTTTCGAAATTGAGACGATTGTCACGTCGCGAGAATACAGTCTCGTTAAGACGGCTCCCACGTTCTTTCGAGAACAATGAGCATCGCGGAATGAATCGGCGCGAGATCGTCTCGTCACGGATCGATCCTCTGCAGGTCGACGATTACACGCAATACGAGCGACGTTTCGCGGTGAATTGATAATTGATAGAATCTGGCATTTAGCGCCGGTTATCATGGTAGATGATAAATTAGGTCTCTTATTGAAATTCGTAGTATTCTATAACGGCATCACTCGTCATTTCTTCGCGCGCTTCACCGTGGTGTTATTCTCTCTACGTTTGAACACGTTACACATACGTTTGCTCTTCTCATCTTGCTCGGTATGCGCATTTATCACGCTCGACGCGATCTTTCCGCTGACTATTGAACATCTCGCTGAAACAGTTCCAGTAAGCGTCAACGTTAACACTATACAAGTCGGCGATGTTTCGCGTAATCATGCCAGTGGCGAGTGGCGTAGAAACTAGTGTAGAACGAGGATAGAAATTAAAGCAAATTTATTACGTTATTACGAAGAGATTCTAAAGATAAAGTATATTGAAAAAAATTGAAACAAAGAATAACAAAAATAACATTTCTAATAATTTTTGTTTCACGTGCTAAGATTCAAAAGAGTACCTTGCAAAATTTTTCCTCCCGGAAAAGTAAAGTAAAGTAATAAAATATACTGTATCAGAAGAGATACTTGAGACGCGCATGTCTTTTAAAATGTTGCGATAAACATCCCCTTTTATGATTTATGAAAGTTAAAGTTTCTGACGATGCATAGTGCAAAGGATTATTATTTCGTATACAAACTAAAATGGACAATGTAAAAATTCGGTTATTCTTTTTTTTTTTACAAAAAGGACCGTCATTAGAATGTGTACAGAATTTTCAATATCTGCTTACCTGGCAATACACGATATTATATGTTTCAAACGAACGTTAGAATTGGAATCGCAAACGATGCGGAAAGTGTGTCACTAATTGTAAGTGGCTGTTAACCATTATTTTTTACAAATGACGCGCAAATCACGGTGTCGGCTTGTATGTAGTGTTAAATAAAAAGTGCTGAGAGAGAAACGTGCTTCGTTCGAACGTGGAGATCTGCTCTGGATAGAATTGGTTCTATCTCCGGGTCAGACAAGACCGATCCCTTCCTTCTGCCATTCAACGATACGAACGTGGTTCGAGGTGCTCGCATTATTTACCCTCGCCAATCGCTGCCCCGCCACTGGGCGTACGTTTCCCTGTAATCTCGCATGCAAATCGACGAAATAGAGGCTGACATTAGAGCTGTCGAGGCCCCAGCGCAATGTAAATAAGTCGATGAAATATCGAGAGGCAAGATTACCCGCGATTCCAGAAGGCGATACCAGCGATACCAGCCTTCGTTAACGACCTCGGTTGCCTTTTCGTTTCCTTGGTAATAAAGTTCTCCCGGGGGGAGTTTAAGGGAGTATTCTAGTGTGAACTTTTGAAAAAAATCAATTTTTTTTCTTTTTTTGCATATTCTTAAAGGACATAGTTTCAAAAATAAATCTCTACATGTAACCTTACATGTGAACATGTAAAATTAACAAAGTTATGGTTGTTTGAAGGACGCGACGACCAGGGTCGTTATTACCGCAATTCTAAACTTTAAAGGCATATTTCTGGAAACTATGTTTTCCAGAACGGTGTCCATGACATCTCAAAATCTACTTGACCAATTGACCCAAAATTTTAAGTACGCATTTAGTACATGTGTGACTATAGCCCCTACCAGAATCAACCAAAGAATTTTATTTTTTATGTTTTTTTAGGCTTTCGAAGCTCAACAAAAACATGCAAAAATCGATAATCAAACTTCAAAGTATCGCTATTTTCTTAATTACCGACATTTTTCTTTCGTTTGGTACCTGGTATAACCAAACTCATATTAATTAAGGAACATTCACGTCTTTTTTATTTCCGACAAGCAGAATGGCCGGAATCGTGGACATCGTGAGACGATCTTTTTTAAAAGCGACTATGTTTGAGTATGCAGTGCCACTAATTTTAACTTTTTTTGTCCCAAAAAATTTTAAAACGTCATTGAAATACGTACAAATAAACTTTGTCAATTTGACTGCAAAAAGTATAATAATTTCTTTGCAAAAAATTTCCTAACAAAGTTAAAAAACACGCACTTCACACTAGAATACCCCGTTAAGGGCGCTTCGAACTAATCGGCGAAATATTTCCAGAGAGAGAGAGAGAGAGAGAAAATCGCGGATTTATGGACGCAGCGACAAAACGAAGTAAATTTCACGAATCTTTTAGATCTCGAGGGCCGCGCATAGTTTACATATTTCTTTTATCAGTTCGGTGTAATCTATATCGTTGAAACAACTTTTATATCGAAACAATTCACTGATCAGAAAAATATATTTATATTAATTGAAAAAGTATGAAAATTTTTAATGAGAGCTGAGCTTGTTTCTTAAATACCTTGGTTCATCAATCATCTGGTTTGATACGGGTAGTGGCGATGCGAAGAGTATTTTCAAGACGCTCGTCCAAAATTTTTCTTATTTTATTTTTCGCGTGCTTGGTAGGGGAAAAAGTCTGCAAATGTAAGTACTCTACAAAAGGGACATCGTGAACATTCCTGGGTAAAATTATTCAAATGATAACATTCTTATTCAATTGTTTCAATTTTGGTCATGCAACTATTCTGGTTGTTCGTATGTGAAACAATCGGTAACAAAAGAAGCACGTTGGCGATAGAACGCAACGCGATATCGAAAATTTGTAGCGTGGGATCTAGTACGAACTAGCGCACTAGGAATGCGATGTCTATGTGATTCAGCAGCTTTGTGTCTCAAGTAGCCCAGGATCGCGCGCTTGTATGTTTTGCACCTTTGAAAATGGAAGCTTATTAAATTGCAACGTCACGATGTAAACTCGCAAGGATGACGCGTCACTCGTGTCGTTTGCGTCGGATTTTATCGAAAAAGTTTCTGCGTCCCAGTGTGAATGCTTACGTGCACAAATCATTACGTTCGAAACGATATTATATCGAATCTTTCGTCACGTAAGACGATACTCGGTGTCGTTACCAGCGAGTTGCAGTTGCATCTGTTAGCCTAGAGATCCCTTTTGTAAAACGAAGGCGCAAAGTTCGATTGAAAACGGTCCCTGATCGCGTGAAACGAGGTTCCACGTGTTACGGTACACGCCGAACCGATCTATACAGCTCGTTCAAGAATCTTCGACAGCCCCGAGTTACGTACGTGCTCCTCATAAAAAATGAAATAGGCGACCCGATATATGCGTACCTGCGCCGCGTAGGAATGAGTGGAAAACGTAACTGTACCTTAATATCTCTCCTCAGCGAGGAGATGTCATCGTTGGAAACGTGTTGGTTGTCCTCTCGAGCTTTGTTCATCGCTGCTTAATAGCGCCGGGAAACGTTTATGGATAACTATACGACGCGAACATGCTGATGAGGGACATTTGCGAAATGTACAATGTCGACATTAACGCGCAACTGGATACGCTCATGTACGGGGTGTCCCATTCATCCGTGGTACGAAGCAGTCGTTCCTAAGGAATGAACGAAAAAAGAATTGTGCTTTCATGGTGCTTTGTAATCGATAAGTTAAATTTGAAAGTTTATTCAGCGTGATGTGAACTTGAGTCAAGAACGAAGAATGAAATTTTGTTCTCGAAAAGATTCTCGAACATATTCGGCTAAATGATTTTCAAATTATCGAAAATCCTACGAAAATAGTATGAAAAAAATATTCAACATGTTTGAAAACATTTTGAACTCTTTTAAAAATGATGTCGCTGGGCAACCTGTGTAGTATGATTGCTTTATATATTTAAATGATTAGGATCATGTAAATGCTAAAAAGTTTTCAAATTTGGTTTTCTCGAAAATCCAATGAAAATCATATGAAAAAATATTCAACCTATTTTTAAATATTTTGAAAGCTTTTTAAAGAGTGGTACCACACGTGTGTAGTACGATTGCTCTATATATTTGAATAAATAACCATAAGAAACGCTGTTAGGATCATGTAAATGCTTCTCGAGTGAACAAAAATAGCCCGGCGTGTAACAAGTGAGAGCATTGGTTAGTATCTAATTAAAAGCAATCTATTAAATGCTTGGAAAAGAGCTTTTAAAAAGCGAGGCCTGTCGTATAGTAAACCGGGGAACAAAAACGATCGATTTGGTTCACTGCGGAGTCAAATAATTGGCCTTAATTTATCGACATACTTTCCATACGCTATCTCTCTGCCCGGTAGCTAAACTTCCTATGCCTCGCAAACGAGCTCGCGTTTCATGCGCATTTAAACAATTAAATCGCTCTTTGGTACTTTCAATATAAACCTAGAACTTTATTCAACCACCGTGACAGACTCTCACGCAAATCTCGTGAAATCTGTTTTCCATATCCACGCAAGGAGGATCAGCTGAAATCCTTTAATTAGAGCTGATTACAATAATTTTGGATATACGAGTGACAATATCCACCGCGCAAAATATAACGAACCAAACTTAAACTTATTATCAGTAATACCAGTTGTAAGTTAACTCTTTGCACTCGACTGTCACTTTTAAGGGGACCATCGTACTTATATCTGAGCTAATTCGAACTTCCTTTGTTTTTATAATACAAAAATTTCAAATGATACTACTTCGTAAATAAATTGCTAGATGATATATAAAAAAAAAAAGTTTCCGAGGGCAAACAGTTAATTTATCACTTGTTTTCGGGCGAAACTTCATTCGTATTCGACAAGAGAACGGCACGATCACTGGCGAGAAACGCGAATCGTTATTCGCGAGATGTACGTACATACAGATGTACGTTTCGTCCCGACGAAGGCCGCCGGCTTTGGTAGTTGCTTCGCTTTTATTTACAATGTCTGACGCAAAAGCCGTCGGAAGGAGCGCAGAATTTGGCATACAATGAACGAGCAGAGCTCGCACATTCACTCACGAACGAGAAAAGCGGCGAGGAAGCGTTCACGGGCCCGTCGATATTCGTGCCACTGGGTTACTACACTTTCGACACTGTTCAACTAAATCGGCCGCTATTCCCTAGACTTATCGCGACTTTCGTAAAACAACGAAACAAGAGGAACGTGTCTCGCAACATACGGTCGGTCTTGTTCGTCTATCCTTTTGTTTTTCGTCGAACGTACGGCCTCGAGGCCACTTCGTCTCGAGAGTTATTCTGCGGCTCCGGTTCTCCCGTGAACGTGGACCAATTAACGATTTTCTCCGGTTATCGCTCGCCCGTGTAATGATACACGTTCACGAGTGATCTAGATTGCGAACGAGTCAGCGCGTCGCGAAGACCTAGAAGATTACACCCGGCGGATTGACCTGTAAGTAGGAAATCCCTTCGATTCCCTTTTCCTGGAAATGTTTCTGCCTCACGATCCGTAAACTCACGCAAGAAGTACGATTCCTCGTTATTAATTGAATTTCAATAACGTCTAGCCAAACGAAATCATCGCGCGTTGAGCAGGATGGTTCGTTCGGAGAGTCTGAAGGGACAGCAATTTTCGTCTGAAAATTTCCGCTGAAAGCGCGTGGCATTAATACCAGGAGAGATAATAACAGACAACAAACTGCACTTCTAATGACACTTGGAGGCCGGTGTAATTGCGCGTTATTAGAAATCGCAACTACCGACACAACCTGGCGTTTCCAAATTGACGATTCCTCGTGTCTCCCTTGACAGACCAACGAGTTTGATGTTTACTCCGTTGTATCACGAGCGTACAAGACTTTGTGATTATATCCACTTGTTGATGCCGAATTGATCGAGCGTCTGCGACTGCACGATTACATAGCTCCGTGACTAGACAAATGTCTCTGGCTACGTGCATAACCTATAGGATCGAGTGAACGTCCACGCCATAACGACACTGCGATCATTTTGTACAGTTCGTGGCTGTGACAGATGAATTCTACACTTTCGATTTGATGGAGATACAAAGAACCTGCAAAATTGAGTTTGACTTTGAATTTCAAGATCAGTTCTTTTTTTTTGCATTATATTCTACTCGTCACAAACTATAGATCGCAACCTAATAATGATAAAGAAGTTTCTTGATCATTTGACACTGCGTGCTAACAGCGACTTTATGATTCTGAACGCATGGATATCTATTTTACGTAATTTTCGTATTATATTTCACGAACATTTCATTTATCATAGTATGTAGCATCAGTGTGAGTCTAAATAATAAAATAATATTATTCGAAATATAAATTCGTCCAGTACCATAAAGTCGCTGTTAGAACACACGTAGTGTTAACTCTTTTGCCATTTTTCAAGAGAACTATCAGGTTCCTTGGGAAAGTTTTACCTTCATGATGAGTAGAATACAACGCAAGAAAAAAAATTTTCTTTCGACCTTGAAGTTCAAAATCAAAGTCAATTTCGTGGCAGGTTCTTTACATGTATCTCTGTCAAGTCGTAATTGTAGAATTCATCTATGACAGCCACGGACGAATTTTTCTTTCCACCCCGTACAAGCCTCGTACTTGACGCGTCGAGACTACGTGCGATAAAGTGTGTCTGCAAGTGTCGCGATTCGGGACAACTCGGAGGGCCTCCGTTCAAGGACGCGGCGCGGAGTCCAGTGAACCTGGAGTTCGTTAGCTCCGAAGAATAACGCGGGATCCGCGTAACGAATATGTAATGCCGGTGCATACGCACAATAGCATACTTGCGATGAAAGTGGCTTGTAATCCGGGCTGAGCGTCGCGAGGGATTCATACTTAAGTGTCTCGTTAGCCGATTAAGGAGTGTCCGTTCAGGCCGATTCAGCAAAAAGAATGATCGAACGTGCTTCATGGTGATGCTCCGTCGTGCATTGTCACGACCCGATCGTCGGCGTTATTTTCTTTTTTTTTTTTTCTCTCTTTTTTTCCATTTTTACGTCCGAGCAACTCGAACCGAACAGGGCACCGGCTGATCGCAACGACTGTCACGGGAATTGTCTTAAACGAATCTAATTTACCGCGGCGCAAGGAGTACCGGATTAGATCCGCGATATCGCGAGTACGCGCGCACTTCCTCAAGCGATTGTATAACTAGATTCTTTTCCAAGCGTGCTGCGACTTGTGATTGGAGCTAGACGGTTCCAGAGATCTTGTTTAACGCTGGCTTAACTTAATTATGTCTCGATTCGTAATCGGTCGGAATTTTCTTGTCTTGTTCGTTCGTACCTTATCTACGTAACGATCTTGATTCAAGATTACGATGGTAGCAAAGGCACCATTATCAATGATCTGCGATTGTCTCTGTACGGGGTTTGCATTTATATTAACCATTTTGTTGATTCGTAGTGCACCTTTTCGCACTATAAATTAATCCTTTCGCTGATCAAATTTTGCACCTTGTGAATGACTCATAAGTGATTGAAATTAGTTTTGTATAATAATAACCTTCCACTCAAAACTCAGAAAGTGCGTGAGGTTATTAGGTATCATTTCTACCATTTATTATTTTTTTCCGCAAATATTGAAAATTCTTTTTTCAAAGAATCCCGTGCTTGAAATATTTTAACTGATCCTTCAAGTCATGAACATTTAATGAATGTTACTAATCATTCTATATCGTTATCACTTCATAATTACTATATGAATACGTAGATGAATGTATAAATACTTTCAGCGTTAAATAAGTATTTTACGTCAATTTCGTATCATTTCACGTTTCAAACTTTTTCGTTTGCAATGAAATTTTCATTTCGCAATAATAACTTTACATCGGATTTTCTTTCCGTTACAATGGCTCAAGAAAACAAATTCGTAGAGAAACTTGATTCGCGAATTTGATTTGCAAAAAAAGGTGAATATCACCTCCAACAAGTAATTTACAATGCATAAAACATGAACACGACTTGCAAAAGAGTCAGTTTTTAGTAAAAAAAGACGAACGTGATCTGCAAGAGGGTTAATTTGGAGCGCAAAACCTGTCGCTACCTTGAGGAAGCGGATCCTTGGATCTCGCGGTCAAAGTTCGCTTATTCGGTACGTAACAAGACCGGGATAATGTATTCGTTGAAAAAATAAATGGCAGTGGCGTGTTTACGAGTCCGGATTCCGTGAACCCGCTCCAGCTTTGACATCCAGCTTGCTCGCAAGGACATCGATTCCATGCGAACTCTCCTTTCTCTCGGGTTGAGAATCCGAGCCTTTTCAAGCATCAGAATCCTGACTTGCAACCGAGTGAGTTGCACACCTCCGACTGAACATCGATTACGATTGATTTGAAATATATGCTCGATCCTTAGCCGACGCCCATCGTCAGTCGCTGAAAAACGATTGCAGATCGATCTCTCCGAATCACAGACATCTCAAAGTCGAGCCTTCTTCCAGGTTCATTACGTTTGTTACGCGAGTCTCTCTTTAAATTATAATACTATTTACGCCAGAAAATACATTGCAGACGTTGATACGAACGTTCAACGAGCCTTGAAATTTCAACGTTGCAGCGAATTTGTGAAAACTTGGCAAAGGATAAGTTTGAGAGCAAATCATCCGAGAAAATTAACAATGAAAACAAAGTC